ACCTTGTTTATACTCTCTGCTTCAATTCTTGCTTCCAGTTCTCCCTTTCACATCCACATTCCATTGATATTTTCCTCATCAGAGTCACCAGTGACCTCCCCATTTCTGAATCAGTATTTTATTCTGTTGTCATCTTGTCCTGTCAACAGCATGCTGCACTCCCTCTTCTTTTTTCTTTTGTTTGGTGAGGAAGATTATCCCTGAGCTAACATCCATGCCCTTCTCCCTCTATTTTGTATATGTGATGCTGCCACAGCATGACTTAATGAGCGGTGTGTAGGTCTGTGTCTGGGATCCAAACCTGCAAACCCCAGGCCTCCAAAGCAGAGCACACGAACCCAACCACTACACCACGGGGCAGGCCCCTGCACTCCCTCTTCTTGAAGCACTTTTTTCTTGGCTTTCACATCACACTATTTTTAGAAAATAAATCTATCTACCAATCATCTGTGTTAATTTTCTTCTCCCTGTTGATGTCTCAGCTTCCTGTGCCTGTTTCTCCTAACTCCTTGGTCTCTGACTATGGGAGCACCTCTGTGCTTAGTCCTTGAACCTCTTCTCTGTCTACACCACTGCTTTTCCATCTCATCTCATCCCACCCCATCCCATCCCATCCCATCTCGACTTTAAACACTAATGTCTCTTTTCACCTCTTCACCCAGACTTGTCCCTTGAAACCAGAGTCCTGTATCCAGCTGTCTCTTCAACATCTCTTTCAGGACAACCAACTGGCATTTGCATCTTAATATGTCCAAAAATGGCCCCCTGAACTCCCCAAATGTGTTCTCCTGCAGTCTTCCACATCTCAGTATTGGGCAACCCTGTACTTCCTGGGGCTTAGGTGAACATCTCAGCATGTTTTCAAAATATATAAGATATTATTTTATTTGTTACTATTTTAACTTAGGACAAAATAAATTTAAAAACCGATGTTTACTTAAAATGGATAAGGGAATACATGGTTTCCAAAAATCTTGGGGACAGGGAAAAATGTTTGAAGGCCACAGCCCTTTCTCATCTTATCTCTTACTTTTGTCTCCTCCTCACTCACTCTACTCCAGCCGCACCGGCCTCTTTGCCCTTTCTGGAGCCAGGAACACCATCACCTCAGGCCTTCACATGCATGTCCCTCTGCCTAGAAGTCTCTGACCCCTCACTTGTAGGTGGCAAAATCCCTTCTTTCCTCAGGTCTTTGTTCTGACATCGTCTCTCAGTGGCACCTTCTCTGGCTTCTGTCTCCTCCCCTATCCCCCTTTTAACATCCAGCTACTCCCTCACCCCCACTTCTGGTCCATATTGCCTGCTCTGCATGTTTGTCTCTGCTCCTTCCCATTCCACTGGCTGGATACACATGACAGCAATGCCCTAGGGGAGAGCAGAGCCACCAGGTGGGAGGTGTGCTGGGCTTGGATCCTCTGAGTGGTGCTCAACTCCGGCTTTACATTGGATTGCTGAGGCATTTTGCAAATACAGTGCTTGTGCACTGTCCCCAGAGATTGCCCTTCAAATGGTCAAGTGGAATGGGACCTCCGTGATGTTTAAAGTATCCCAGGTGATTCTGATCTGTATCCAGCATTGAGCATCAAGGCTCTGAGTCCTCCATTTCTGAGGATGAGATCAGCCTGTGATCCAGGGAGAGGTGAGGGGGCTCTACTCTGCATGGGGTTTGATCAGGGCCGGGTCTGACCTGAAGGGGAGGGTCAGTCCAGCCCAGATCCCCACTGCTGCAGTGTATGTTAGGGCTTCATCAGGAGGGGAGCAAGTTCTGAAGAAAGAGGTCAAAAAACTCACTTGTTGGTCTCTGTGTAGGAGCTTATTTTCCCTGAATCCCTCCTGAGGTAGTGGGCAGCAGAGGACCGTCTTTTCCACATGGTGAGGACTTCCCTGTGTGTGTGGTTGTGGCACAGGAAGGAGATATGTTGAATCTAAGCATTAAACAGCATATTTTTGACACTCAGGATTAACTTCTCAAGACCAATCTTGCCCAAGGAAAAAGCCTGGAAAAGGAGGAAGAGGAAAGAAAAGGAGTCAAAAATGGCTCTTCCTCAGGTAAAGTCATGTTCTTACTTGATTGTTCTGTCTCTCCTTCATGAAGTGTCCATCTTTGGACTTGCTAATCTCTGACTCTGAGTGTCCTGCTTGATGTGTTCCTTCTTACTCACTCAGGGCCTTCCCTCAGTCCCTCTCATCTCCACTTAGATTCCATCTCACCGTGACCCGGTGACATGGAACTTGTGAAGGGGCTCCACTGGGTGTGGTCCTAGGCAGGGCTTCACATCCACGGATTGGAGGTGGGTGTGGGCACTGTGGTATCAGTGCAGTTGAGGACAGCAAGGATTGTTTAGGGGCCCCATGTGGATTCACTGTCAACTCTCTGTAGACCAGGATGAAAGAAGTTGCACATGGAAGTCATGTATTAATGTATAGGAATAGTTGGAAAATTCTGCCAGAGTGATAAGAGGAAACCAGCTCTGCCTGACTTGATAATGCATTCAGAGCTAAACAAGTGAATCATGGCATTTCTGGTTCCAGAATATTAATGATTGAGAATAAAGTTCAGAAACAGACATCAGTGATAGAGTATGTTTTATTCCATAATTGGTTTTAAGATAGACAATCAACCTAAATATATAACAGTAACAGGTTTTAAAAAAATCATTCTCGGCATATCCATCCCACAGAGACCGTGGTCTTCCTTCAGGGACTCTCATGCAGCAGATCTTTTAGATAAAAATGGTTATAATTAAGCCAAGACGTGGAGCATGAAACTTTATCTTTGTCATCAAAGAGGCTGTGGCCAAATTCTGGTTCCACCATTATTATTAACTATTACCTTTCTTTTATTTTAAACGTTGCATGATATATATTTGTGTGATTTTGTGGTCAAACTCCAAACAAAGAAGCAGTTTAGGCACTAAGATGTAAAGCATCCTCTTCCCTGTCATGTCTTCCACCATCCCTCATGCCTCAGTGAGGGACCACTGTTGTCAGTTCTGTAGCAAGAGTCAGCTGAAATCTTATAAAAATGCATTTATGCATCCTAATGAGATCTTAGAAAAAATTCTTCAATGAAGCTTATTAAAGTAATATTTTGTTCTGCAAATTTAAAAAATTTACACAATATATGTCTGGAAGTTGTTTTCATGTTAGTAAACACAGATATAGCTTGCCTTTGACAGATCCTCATTGGGGCAATCTCTTGATGAAGACACATGAGACCTTTACAGTTTTTCGCTGTTATAAAGGATGCCACAGTGGCTCTCTATGAGCAGGCTGACCTCTCTCCTGGTGTCTGAGGATTTCTCTGGGTTGGGCAACTTGACATGTGATTACTAGGTCAAGCATGGTGCATTTCATATTTTGGTAGAGTCTGTCAGATGCCCTCTCCTAAAGCTGCAAAGGTACTCTCTCCCACCAACAGCATGTGAGATTTCCCCTGATGTAACCAAACAGGTACTGTAATCTTTTTGCATTTTGAAAATTTGGAGGAAAATGGCAATCTTAGTTTGTATTTCCATTTTCCAACTACTTGTGAGTAACTTTCATTATTTTGTGGAAATAAAACATGGATTTTCATACTTTACTCAGTTCTCCTTTGATATATTTTTAGGAGCTATTCTATATTTTGTAGTTTAATTCTTACACGTGCCCTGGTGTCTTTCTTAGTTTATCATTGTTTTGCAATGAAACATGCATCTTCTTTCCTTCTTGCCCTCTGCTTTCTGATCTTGCTTTAGAAGGCCTCACCTGGCATAGTTTCAAAATATTGTGTTCCATTTAGTGTTAATCTTTTTTTGCTTAAAATTATCTCTTTAACTTGGATTTAATGAAATATTTTTAACTTGGCTTTTTTGTGGATATCTTTTAGCCATTTTATTTTGTTGATTTCAAAGTTTTGTATATTACACACCCTCGCGCACACACACACGCATACACATATACTAATAGGTTCACATGTTGTTTGGCAGGGCCCTCCATTTTATTTTTCTTTTTAAAATTATTTCTCTCTCAACACAATGGAGACTTTTTATTTGAAATTCCACATTTCTTTTACATTTGAATTGCCCTGAATTTCTAAATGACTGAGGTCTTTATATCACCACATCTTCCAATAAGAATTAGGTTTGTCAGTCTTTGATTATATTTTTGTTATATCCATCAGTATATTCTTTAATAAAATTTTCTAATTTCTTCACATAGCTTGGGAAATCTCTTGTAATTAGATGTCACGTAAAATTCCTGATGGGAATTTGCTTCTCCCTCTTCTCGTCCCAGCTCAGGCATCCTGTGCAGTGGTGAAAGGCAGGAGCCTGGCTGGCCCACTTGCCTCAGCCTTACCTCTAGTGGAAATGCCTCTAGTGCTTACTGCAGATTATGATGCTTGGTGAAAGTGTCTTGCTTGATAACAGTTCTTTTAATTTCTTATCTGGCATGATTTTTAATCGAGTATTTCTTCAAAGATCTACTGCTGTGATAAATCTTTCTTCTATTTAATCTGCTAAATTAACATACAACATTAGTCAATTTTTTCATCTTGAATCGTTTTTTTATTAGTGGATTAAACTCCATTTGGCTAATAAACTCCATAATGGCTAAATATCTGACTTTAAATGGAAACTTGTATTTATATTTTTGCATATATGTGGACTTTGTCGTGCCTGAAAATGCCACTCATGCACTAGCTCATCTAGGTGTTGAATATCACTCAATGTGTAGAACATAATATATACTACATCCGTATAAACAACCTGTGTTGAATATTTTTCATTTATGTATTTCTTTTATTGTCCTGAAAAATGGGAAATCTACAGTGATTTAGTGGATTTGATATCCTCTGATGGAAAAATATAAAGCAAAACTAGGGATATATAAATTGTTCACAATTATCTTGCTCAAAATGATCTGTCAGAACATTCACTTCAATTGAATCAATCCTTACACCTCTCTCCTTCTCACGTATTGTGTGAAGATAAGAACCGTCGCTACTGTCCATTAGTGAAATGTGTTTTTCATTTCAGGAACTGTTGACCTTCAGGGATGTGGCCGTAGACTTCTCTCGGCAGGAGTGGGAATACCTGGACCCTATTCAGAGGGACTTGTACAGGGATGTGATGTTGGAGAACTACAGGAACCTGCTCTCCCTGGGTGAGAATAGCATCCCTCCAGAAGTTGGGATCTGCCCTAGTGAGTCTCTTGAGAGCCCTTGCCTTGCTTGCCTGGAATTGATGCTGGATTGACTCTGAACTAAAAAGCTTCATGATGTAGTGTCTAGACTTTCACCTTCCCTTTTCTTCAGATGATCTGCCCACTCCACACTAGATTAGTGGTGGTTCCAGAAGTTGAGTAATCACAAAATCTTATGGCAAATGTTGAAAAATATCTGTTTCTGGATCTGCTTTTACCCCTGTACTTTTGATAGAGTAGTTCTTGGAGGAGAGCTAGATATCTGTATTTTAAAAATATTCCTTAAGCATTCAGAGGGAGACAGACAGTGAACAAATTTGTGAAATATTTTTCTAGACATAACTGTAATGTCCTCTCTTCTCAGCTGAACAAAGGGATGGAATTGTATTCTGGAAAAGCCACAGCACATCATGTGGCTTTCTTATAAGCAGGAATCTCTCTTTCTGACCTGAATATTATCTCCATTTTGGAGCAAGGGCACGAGCCCTGGACTGTGCAAAGCCAGGTGAATATAGGGAAAAATTAAGTGTATCAAAGATGTGACCAGAGGAAAGAGCTCAGATGGACGGAGAGGAAGCTGCACCATTAGTAATGTTTGAGAAACTCTCCACAAGTGAAAGAGTTCTATGGGAAAACAAAGTTTATTTCTTGTGACCTCTCAAAGGAAAGTTTTCTTCCCTTCCACTTATCACTCTTTTCTTCAGACCTGTAAAAGTTCATCCTCCCAACCTCTAGCTCATGCAAAGACCAAGGCAAAATCTTTATCGTGACCTCTAATATACTCTTATCTGCCCTCTAGGTCCTCTTTGGTAGCTTGACCTTGAGGTGCACCAGGAGGGCTGGTTATAAGGAGTCCTCTTTCTTCCTGATTCTCATACTCAGTTCTCAGTCCACACAGATCAGAGCTGAAGCCTCCATACTCCAGGCCCCAGGCCTTCTCCAGGTTCCATTCCCATTTCATGTACTTGGGAGACCCTCTTACAGGATGGGAAAATGTTGGCATATTGGGCCCCAGGAAAGTGCATGGGGCTGTCTCAAGCCCTCTCTGCCTCTTCAGATGCCCCAGCCATTTCTTCAGTTCTGCTTTTGCCTCACGTCAGGAAGTATGTGTAACAGGGGAGTGGGGTGGATCTTTTGATCCAGCAGTAAAACTGCTTTTACTCAAAAAAACAATGGATAAAAGAAAATTTCAAAAGGGAAACTAGAAAATACTTTGAGAGGAAAGAAACAAAACACAACATACCAAAACTTATGGTATGGTATAGTATGGTACTGCTTATACACCTGATAAGAGTGTTTTTTTAAATTTCCATATATTTGTAAACTTCCCAGTTTCCCTGCAGTTATTCATTTCTACTTTCATTCTGTTGTGGTTGGAGAAAATATTTTGTATAGTTTCAGTCTTTTTCAGTTTATTGAGACTTGCTTCATGGTTTAATGTATGGTCTATCCTGGAGAATGTTTCATGTGCATCTAGAGGAGAATGTCTTTTGCTGTTATTGGGTGGAGTGTTCTATATGTGTCTGTCAGAGCTATTTGGTTTACAGTCTTGCTCAAGTCCTCTGTCCTTATTGAACTTCTCTCTAGCTATCCTCTCCATTATTGAAAGTGGGGTCTGGAAGTCTCCAAATATTCTCGAACTGTTTTTATTTCTCCCTTTAATTTTGTCAGTGTTTGCTTCATATATTGTAGGACTTTCTTGTTTAGTTGTAAGTTCATATTTGTTGTAATTCCTTGATAAGTTATCCTTTCTTTAGTATACAATTTTCTTTGTCTCATAAAAATTTTTGACTTAAATTCTGTTATTGGTATAGCCACTTCAGGTCTCTTTTGGTTACTATTTGCATGGAATCTGTAATAGTTTGCCAGGGCTGTATAACAAAGTACCACAGGCTGAGTGGCTTAAACAACAGAAATTTATTTTCTCACAGTTTTGGAAGTTAGAAGTCCAAGATAAGAGTGTCAGCAGTTTTTTTCTTCTTAGGCTACTCTCCTTAGCTTGTAGTTGGCTGTCTTTTCTTCCCTCCTTCTTCACATGGTCTTTCCTATGTGTGTGTCTGTGTCTTAATCTCCTCTTATAAAGACACCAGCCGTTGGATTAGGGCCCACTCCAATGACCTCATTTAACCTAAATTACCCCTCTAAATACCTTATCTCCAAATATAGTCACATTTTGAGGTACTGGAGGTTAGAAATTCAACATATCAATTTGTGGGAGAGGACGCAGTTCAGCCCATAACAGAATCATTTGCCATCCTTTCACTTTCGGCATGTTTACATATCTATATCTAAAGTGAATCTCCTGCATACAGAATATAGTTAGATCCTATTTTTATATCCATGCTGCCAACCTCTACCTTTTAATTAGAGAGCTTAATCCATTTACATTTAATGTAAGTAGTGATAAAGAAGAACCTCTGCCATCTATCTGTTTGTTTTCAATGTGTCTTCTGTCGTTTTTTTCTCCTCAATTCTTCCATTACTTCCCTCTTTTGTGTTAGGTACGTTCTAGTGTACCATTTTGATTCCCTTCTTGTTTCCTTTACTATGTATTTTTTAATTGTTTTGTTAGTTATTGCCCTGAGGATTACAAATAAAATATTAGTTTATAACAATCTAGTTAAAATTAATACCAACTCAATTTCAATAGTATATAAAAACTTTGATATACTATATATATATATATACACACACACACATGTATCTCCTGTCCCTTCTTCCTCTGTTGTTATTGTCCCAAGTTACATCTCTATATATTGTGTATCAATCAATGTAGATTTAGAATTACTGTTTTATGTTGTTGTCTTCTAAATCAATAGGGGAAAAAAGGAATTACAAACCAAAAATATGTTAATACTGACCTTATACTTACCTGTGTAGTGTATTACTTTTCCTTATTTCTTTTTGTGGATTTGAGTTACTGTCTCTTCTTTTATTTTAGCCTGAAGCATTCCCTTTACCATTTTTTTGTAGGACTGGTCAACTTACAAGGGACTCTGTCAGTTTTTATTTTTCTGGCAATGTCCTAATTTTTCCTTTATTTAAAGGATAATTTTGACATACATAGAATTCTTGGTAGACAATTATTTCTCTTTAGCACTTGGAAAATGTCATCTCATTGCCTTCTGACCTCCATGGTTTCTGATGTGAAATCAGTGGTTAATCTTATTGAGGACTCTTTCACCTGAGAAATTGTCTCTTACTGCTTTCAAGATTCTCTTTGTCTTTAACAGTTTGATTATAAAGTGTCTCACTGTGGATCTCTTTTAGTTTATCTCACTTGGGATTTGTTGAATTCCTTGGATATGTAGATTCATGTATTTCATAAAATTTGGAAATATTTCTGTGTTGTTGCTTCAAATATTTTTCCTGCCCGTTTCTTTCTGTTATTTCCTTCTGGGGCTCCCATTATCTATGTTGGTACACTTGAAGGTGTCCCACAGTTCTCTTGTCCTCTATTCATTTTTCTTCATTCTTTTTTTTTCTGCTCCTAAAGTTATGTAATCTGAATTGACTTATCTTCAAGTTTGCTAATTCTTTCTTCTGCCTGTTCAGTTCTGTGTTGAACCCCTTTAGGGTTTTAAAATTTTTTTTTTGTCAGTTTTTGTACTTCTCATCTCCAGAATTTCTATTTAGTTTCTTTTTAAAATTTCTCTTTATTGGTATTTTCTATTTGGGTTCCTTTAGTTCTTTGCACATTGTTTCTTTTAGCTCTTTGAGCATATTTAAAATAGTGATATAAATTCTTTGTCTAGTCAAGTCCAATGTCGGGGCTTCCTTGGGGACAATTGCTGTTAAATTCCATTTTTTCCTGTGTATGGGCCATACATCATTGTTGGTTTGCATGCCTCATATATATATATTTTTAAACTGAATTTTATAATATGGCAACTCAGGAAGTCACAGTCTTCCCTACCCACTTCGCCACCCCATCGTTGGTTGTTCCTGCTTGTTGTAGTTGCTATTGTTTGTTTAGTAATTTTTCTGAGTTAATTTTGTAAAGTCCATATTCTTTGTCACGTGTGGTCTCTGAAGTCTCTCTTTAGTTAGCTTAGTGGTCAGCTAGTGATTCGACATAAAATTTCTCAAATACCTGGAACCAAAAAAACCCAGAAAAACAGAAACGAAAACCCCAGTCTTTGGAGATAAACTTTGTGTGTTTGGGAATACCTGTAAAACTCAGCCTGGCAATTTACAATGCTGCCTTAGCCTTTACCTCCTGCTTTTGCTGAGCCTGAAGTTTAGCTGGAGGTAAGGCCTCAGGGTCTTCTCATATGTTTTCTGAGCAATCACTCAGCCCTGGGCATGTGTATGACTTAGATTCCTAGGAATATGTGGCAGTTTTTTTTTTTTTTCCCTTGGGGAGGTTCACCCTCCGCAAACATCTCTGCCAGTCTTCCTCTACTTTGTATGTGGGACGCCTCCACAGCATGGCTGGTGAGTGGAGTAGGTCCATGCCTGGGATCTGAACCTGCAAACCCAGGCCGCCAAAGCGGAGTGCACAGAACTTTAACCACTCAGCTGCGGGGCTGGCCCCATGTGGCAGCTTTTAAAAGCCCTTATTCCCCAAAGCATTTTACTCCCCAGCCTTTCTTCCTAGGTCTTTCAATGTGTCTTCTCTTTTCTCCATCTTTAATCTCTTGCCCCAAGTGTTCAGCAGCTACTATATTTGCCTTTAAATATGTTTGACAAATGCACCCCTGTGTAGTGCCTCTGCCCTTGGAGAGTTTTGAATTAGGCAAAATAAAGGCAAAGCTCTTTGACTCAGTTCTTCAGGGAACCCCCAAGCAAGTCATAGTAAAAATCACAATTGTTAGAGAATAAAGTTTGCTCTGCCACTCCCAGTACAAGGGACTTGTGCCAGGAATGTGGGCTGCTATTTTCAAGGCTGTCTTTGTGCTGGAGAGAATGAGATGGGGCCAGGGTAAATTAAACTGCCAGAAAGCTCTCCTACTGAGCATGAGCTGCCTCTTTCTTGATTAATTATCTACACGTTTGCTGTAAACATTTGTTTAGTTTCCATAATTCTGATAGTTTTTGCCAATTTATTTGCTGTTTTTATGGAGAGATGTACTTTTGGAGTAACATACTTCACGATTTTCACACTATTAGCTTTACCCCTTTCTTACCTTTATAATACTATATATTTATCTGAAACTGATATTTCAAAAATCAGGGGGCATGTGCATAACTTAGAGTGTTAGGAATATGTGGGAACTTTTCTCAACATATTTTTCAGTTCTCATATTGTGTACTCCTTATGGAATATAAGTCTTTCTCTTGTTCTTAAGGGAGAAAGCATTAAAATTCCAGTCTGTGATTTTGTATAATTGTGGTTCCTTGTTATTTACCTGTTGGATTTATCTTGGTTTATTAAAAATTTTTATTAATTTAATTCTCATTTACAGATTATGGATTTCAGTATATAGTATAGAATAGGACTGCAATTTACCAATTGTTAATGTTGCAAAATACCTATTCTGCATGAGTAGAGATAGTTTTATAGAAGATATTCAGAATATGTTGTTATTCCAACGATGTTTTGTTAAATTCTTTTTGATTTTCCTATCAGCTTTTTAGTTTTGCAATTCATAATTCCCATGTATTTATCATATTCATTATGTTTTTAATGAATTATTTATCATTACTTCATATAATGCTATACTATAGCATTTTTTTGCATGCAATAATTATGCAGTAAATATGCATTTATATAATATTTGTGTCTCTTGTAATATGAGACACCAGTTTGTCTACTGCCAGTCAGTGTGTGTTTTGATGTGGTAGTCAAAGAATACACTTTCTTTCAGAGCTTATGTAAGTTTACATAGTGTAAGTGATTTTTTCCTAGAGTGTTTGAAAGTAGGCTTCCCTTAAAAATAATTTGAAATACATGTAATCTTTTATTAAAGAGTTCTGTTCTTAAACATTCGTAGACCTTGCTTGAGAAGTTTTTATCTCTTCAATGTAAATATTACTTTTACTGTAATATTCATCTTCCAATTCTAGTTAATATGAAGACTATTTTTTAAATATCTTTCAGATATCTCTGCTAGATTTATGATCAAGGAATTATTACCAAAGAAAGACATTAATAATGGTGAATTATACCAACCAATGGTCTTGGGAAGATATGAAAGCCATGACATTGAGGATTTTGACTTCAGGAAAGTCTGGGGAAATATGTATGAATTTGAGAGTAATTGTGGATATGAAGAAAGAAATTTCAAAGAAGTGCTTATGACAGGTAACGTAAGTCTCACTAGTAAAAAAGAGAAACACGACAGCAAATCTTGCATTAATTTACCTTTAAAGCAGAGTGTTTCTTTAATAAAAAGTGCATATCATAACTTCAAACATGGGAAGTCATTTATAAAGAATTTGTTAAAAATAAAAAGTAACATAGTCTCTGCAGGAAACAAATATACAAAATGTTTTGAAAATAGGATTGGATTAAGCTTTCAGTCACATCTGGCTGAATTGCAGAGATTTCAAACTGAAGAGAAAATTTATGAATGTCATCAAGTTGAGAAGTCTATCAAAACTTGTTCCTCAATTTTACCACTTCAAAGATTTCCTCCTCCTAGTATCAAAACCAACATTTGTAAGAAATATGGAAAAGTTTTTATGTATCCTTCATTGCTTACACATCATCAGAAAACAAACATTAGAGAAAAACCATATAGATGTAATGAATGTGGAAAGACTTTTAGCCATTATTCAGTCCTTACTAGTCATCAGAGAATTCATTCTGAGCAGAGACCTTACAAATGTGATGAGTGTGGTAAAGCCTTTAAGCAGTTCTCAAACCTCACAAGACATCAGAGAATCCATACTGGAGAGAAACCTTATAAATGTAATATATGTGACAAGGTCTTTAATCAAAATTCCCATCTTACAAATCACTGGAGAATTCATACTGGAGAGAAACCACACAAATGTAATGAATGTGGTAAGGCTTTTATCAAATGTTCAGACCTTTGGCGTCATGAGAGAATTCATACTGGAGAGAAACCTTACAAATGTAATGAATGTGGCAAGGGTTTTACCAAACGTTCATATCTTTGGGATCATAAGAGAATTCATACTGGAGAGAAACCATACAAATGTATTGAATGTGGCAAAGTTTTTAGGCAGTGGTCTACGCTCAGGATTCACCGAAGAATTCATACTGGTGAGAAACCTTATAAATGTAATGAATGTGGCAAAGCTTTTAAGCAGTGCTCACACCTCACTAAGCATCAAAATGTACATCCTGGAGAGAAGCCACACAAATGTAGTATGTGTGGTAAGGCTTTTATCCACATTTCAAGCCTTGTGAAACATCAGAAAATTCATACTGGAGAAAAACCATACAAATGTAATGAATGTAGTAAGGCTTTTATCCAAAGTTCAAGTCTTGTGGAACATCAGAGGATTCATACTGGTGAGAAACCTCACAAATGCAATGAGTGCGGCAAAGCCTTTACTGTTCGTTCAAGCCTAACTAAACATAAGAGATACCATACTGGAGAGAAACCTTATAAATGTAATGAATGTGATAAAGCTTATGCACAATTTGTACACCTTACTAGACATCAGAAAATACATAATGAAAAGAAACATTGTGAATCAACTACATGTGATAATGCTTTTACTCAAAGCTCAAGCTTGGGGGTTCGTCAGAGAATTTATGGTAGAGAGAAACCTTACAAATGTAATGAGTGTGGCAAATCCTTTAACTGGTGTTCACGCCTTACTCGACATCAGAGAATCCATACTGGAGAGAAACCATATAAATGTATTGTGTGTGGCAAGGCCTTTAGTCAAAATTCAAACCTTACAATTCATCAGAGAATTCATACTGGAGAGAAACCTTACAAATGTAATGAATGTGGCAAAGCCTTTAAGCAGTACTCAAGCCTCACTAGACATCAAAATATACATCCTGGAGAGAAACCACACAAATGTAACGTGTGTGGTAAGGCTTTTATCAAACGTTCACACCTTTGGGGTCATGAGCGAATGCATACTGGAGAGAAACTATACAAATGTATTGAATGTGGCAAGGCCTTTAGACAATGGTCTGACTTCAGGATTCACAAAAGAATTCATACTGGAGAGAAATCTTAGAAATATAATGAGTGGTGTAAAGAAATATAATGAATGGTGTAAATCGTTTAAACATTTTTCACAACAGACTATGTATCAGAGAATTTATACTAGGGAGAACTAAGCCTCTAGTCCTAGATTAATTGACCTCAGATATTAAATTCTTCACAATAATTAAAAGTCAAAATCATGTGAAACTCATGTAATGATGAGTATTGGTGGAGCAAGGAGATCTTTGGTAGTGTACCATTTCTTCATTTTAAAAATATTTTTATTATTTGAGGTTTCTTGAAAAGGCTACATTACTATTGATATCTTTCAACCTGAAGTTTGAAATTTGATGTTATGCCTTCATCACATGCGTTTCATGTGTTACCTTCATGGTCTCTGGGAGGGGATCAGTAAGATAGATAAACAGGCCTACTTTATTAGATGGAGATTATTCATATCCATGTTTCCTGAAGGAACAGGGATGCTGAATTTTAACATACAATATTGTGTGGTTTTCAATGAGAGCATGGGGTTGGGAGAAGAATATATGTAAAACAATGATGTAAATCATCATATGTTCAGGATACTCTTCTACAGGTTTATTGGTACAACAGTGGGCCACTGGATTATCAGAAACCTTTGCTGTACCAGCTGAGCATGAAACAGAGCAGGCCTTAGGATTGAGAGACTGAGATTTTAATGAGAATGTGATGATAGGTTAGTAGGGACTGCTTATGTAGTAGAAATAATGGAGAAGAAGTGATTGCCATCCTCTCCTTTTAAAGAAAATAGCTGTTGTATATCAAAGATGAATTAGTCTTATTCTTGGAAATTAAAGACAGCAATTATCAGAGACGAGAATTTAATTAACCAGAGTATGGTATACGTGTATAGGATTCACATTTAACCACTATATCATCAATACCATTTTACTCAGAATGTATCATAGTTGTCATGTTTTAATTAATAAAATTTAATAATTTTTTCAAAATTCTGTGAATCATGTTTTTTTCCTATCAAATCAAACCTATCCCACATCATTATGGGAAGGAAGAAGTAACACTGTCTTTATTCACACATGACATTATCTATGTAGAAACTCAGAATCAACAAAAAACTTTTGGAACTAATAAGTGATTATAGCATGATTGAAGGATACAAAGTGAATACAATGGACCAAATGTTTGTGTCTCCCATCCAAAATTCATATGTTGACGTTCTAACCCACAATGTCACTGTATGAGCAGGTGGGATCTTTGCGAGGTAATTAGTTCATGAGAGTGGAGCCCTCATGAATGAGATTAGTGCCCTTATAAAAGGGACCTCAGAGAACATTCTTACTCTCTGCCATGTGAGGATACAAGAAGAAGACAGCCATCTGCAACCAGAAAGAGGGCTCTCACCAGACACTAAATCAGCTAGCACCTTGATCTTGGACTTTGCCTCCAGAACTGTGAGAAAAATCTGTTGTTTATAAGCCACTTAGTGTATGGTTTCTTACAAAACTGAACATAGTCTTACCATATGATCTAGCAACCACGCTCCCTGCTATGTACACAAGTGAGTTGAAAATTTATATCTATACAAAACCTACACGTGAATGTTTATAGCAGTTTTATGAATAATTGCCAAAACTTGGAAGCAACCAAGATGTGCTTAAGTAGGTGAATGGTTAAACTGTGGTACATCCAGAAAATGGAATATTATTCAGTGCTAAAAGAAATGAGTTTTTAAGCCAAAAAAAGCCATAGAGGAACCTTAAATACATATCAGTAAGTGAAAGAAGCCAATCTGCAAGGGCTATATAGTGTATGATTCCAACTATATAACAGTCTGAAAAAGGCAAAACTGTAGAGACAGTAAAAAGATCAGTGGTTGCCAGGTGTTAGGGGGAAGAAAGGACAAATAGGTGGAGAACAGATGATTTTTAGGGCAGTGAAACTACTTTTGTGTTATACTATAATGATGGATATGTGTCATTACATTTGTCAAATCTATAGAATATACAATTAAGAGTGAACCTAATACAAACTATGGAATTTGAGTGGTAATGGTGTGTCAATGTTGGTTCTTCAATTGTAATGAATGTACCACTGGTGTGGGATTTTGATAGTTGGGGAGGCTGTGCATGGGGTGCAGGAGGTATATGGGAAATCTCAGTACCTTCCACTCAATTTTGCTCTGAACCTAAATCTGCTCTAAAAAATAAAGTCTTAAAAAAACAACAAAACAGAAAAAACACAAAGGCTTTATTATCCATGGTACAGCAGTCTCAAGAACATCGTGATTTCATCAATGCCTCCCTAATTCCTATCGGAATGATGTGGAGAGGGACTGGTGGACAAAGCACACGCAATGGGTTTGCATCACAGGTGAGGAACTTTTAAGTGTAGAAAAACCCAATCTTTTAAAGGGAACTACTAGCAAACCTGCCCTACCCTTTGCCTAAAAGGGAAACATTATCTTTATTTACCTGTATAGCAAACAAGTCTGTCCATTGTTCCAGAGGGTGATGCTGTCCCTATCTTCCAAAACTATTTTTCTCACAAATATTTGTGAAAACAGTACAGAAGAAAAGCTGTTTGTGCCTCATTTCTTCACTGTATTCACTTCTGGCCAATTTTCCCATACATGTGACACAAGTTGTCAACCACTCTCTTTAATTGACCCAGGAGATAAGACTAAAATCTATTCAATTTACTTCAAACAATATTTGGTTAGGTTTGCTAGCTACAAGATACTATGCATCGAGATGAGGCCAAGTTGCTTTATTTGCCTCTGCTATACCAATGTTGGTCCAGCTGAACAAAGCCCTGTAACCATTAGGGTGTACTTTAGGAAGACGTGATGTCTTCATAAGCTTCTGAATTGAGTATTTGAGGGTAACAATTGTATAAACAACTGAACATTGCACAAAAACATACAATTTACATGTTTCTGATGAGATTAGGAATTATTGTATTTGTTAGCCATACAAAGCAGAGCCTGGGTTATAGTGGAGTCAGAGGTAATGAGCAGAAAGGGGCTGACAGTCAGAAAACACACAGATGAGGGAAGCAATCTTCACCAACCATCAGTTGGAATTATAAATAAGAGCAAGACAAATGTGAAAGAGAAGGAGTAAAAAGATACAAAGGTACTTACCAGGACAAAGATACTTTGGGTGGCTCTGGTCTCAGCAAAGGATATGGGGGAAACATTATTCCTGTGAATATGTTGGATTTACTGCTGATGTCTGTATAGGATAAAAACCTTGGAGTCATTGGCCCAGATAGTGAGCATAGAAAATGAAACTTCAGAAAAGACTATCAATGGTGCATGTACTGAGCCTGTGATTTTCTCATTATCTATAGCAGAACAGTATCTCTAATCTCTTTTCTTTGTGATATTTTTCATGCTTCATTTGTTAGACACATACAACACATATAGGAAAAATTGAATTCACAAACATGTACAAGATCCAGCAGAGGAAAATTGAGAAGCCAATGTACTTTGGGGCTTCGACTTTAAGATCCTTCCAAGTTCATGGGGCTGTTCATGGTGGTCTGGAACACACTCAGGAGGCAGGTGCTGCCAATGGATAAACCCCTGCCCACTCTCTGAACATACAAAAAAGTTTGCGTCCAAAATCATTGAAAAAATGTTTAAACCCCAAAGCTGCCATTGTCTGGGAGAATCCTCTAGAGAGAATGATCAAGGAGTTGGATATAGTCAGGTGCTTGAGAATCAAATCTGTGGCCTTCAACCTGCATTCTGTGTGGTAAAGGAACAGGTAATGGTAAAGAAGAGAGAAATTGCCCAGAATTCCAACTGTAGTCTGTGACAAGAAGTTAATTGCCATTGTCAATAGCCTAGAGGCTATTCTGTCATTCAACACATTTTCTTTTAAATCATGGCAACAGTCATTCCTCTGAGCAAGAAGTCTCACTGAAGATTATTGACACCAAGAGTAACTTGTGCTGTGTGCTCCTGTTCGATTGCCAAGACTTCACAAGACAGGAAGAGGTGGAGAGATAACCAGTATATTTCATGGAGAAGTCAACACTAAGGATGAAGTGGTTTTAACCTGAAGGAAGTAATGAGAATTGAGTGCAAAAGGAAAGAATGCATAATACAACATTTTCAGAATAAGCTAAAATTTGCTAGCCATTTTGGATAAAAGAAAAACCTTGATCACTACCCACGTTATAAAACAAGTTAACTCTGAGTGGATTGCTGATCTAAATTTTAAAAATATATTGTGCTGTTTTAGAAAAACAAAAAAAATATTTCTGTGGTCTTAGAATAAGAAAATATTCTTATATCCTAAACAGCACAGAATATATTAACCATAAGAATGAAATGACTTTATAATTTTATAATTTTATTTATTTATTTATTTTTCCCCCCAAAGTCCCAGCAGATAGTTGTATGTCATAGCTGCACATCCTTCTAGTTGCTGTACGTGGGACGCGGCCTCAGCACGGCCGGAGAAGCGGTGCGTCGGTGCGCGCCTGGGATCCGAACCCGGGCCGCCAGCAGCGGAGCGCACGCACTTAACCGCCAAGCCATGGGGCTGGCCCAGAAATGACTTTAGATTATGTTAAAATTAAGAGCTGGTTCTCATCAACACACACACACACACACACACACACACACACACACAGAGACACGGAAATGCTTGTAACAAGCTGAAAGAACTCCCAAAGATAGAACAGACAATGCACAAATCATTCCAATAGAAACTTCAATAAGAGGTTATTCAATGGGTAATACATGTGTAAAAAATATTCAACGTCCTAAATAATCAGAAATGTTCAAATATAACGCTACCTGGTACCATCAAACACCACCCAGAAATCTAAAACGAAATGACAGAAATATCAAGTTTTGTGAAGGATGTGGATAAAGCAAGAATCTCATGCACTGCTGGTGGGTGTTAAAATTGGTACAAACATTTTGGGAAACTGTGTAGTATATACTTTGGCTGACTAAATGTAATCCTGTGTCCTGGCAATTCCACTCGTGTGAATATACTGAACAGAAATTTGTATCACCAAAAAACTAGTCACAGAATTTATATACTGCACGACTTATTACTCAAAATAGCCCCAAATGCAAAACTACCCACTTGTTTATTAACAATAAAGTGAACCAATGAATCATTTGATATTCAC